AAAAAAAATGGCTCAAAGTACATCAACAAGGAACTACCAGAAATTCAAGCTGGATTCAGAAAAACAGAAGATATTTCCTTGTGCTTTATTGAACATGCATTTGAATGTGTTGATTATGTCTAACACTGAGAGGAATAAAAATCCCAGAACACGTAATTGTGCTCATGTGAAACCTATACATAGATCAGAAAGTAATTGTCCAAACAAAAGAAAGGAATACTGCATGGTTTAAAATCAGGAAAGGTGTACATCAGGGTTGTATCCTTTCTCTATACCTATTGAATTTATATGCTGAACAAGTAATTTGAGAAACTGGACTATATTAAGATGAATGTGGTCTTAGGATTGAAGGAAGATTCACCAGTAACCTGAACTATGCAGCCGACACAGCCTTGATTACGGAAAGTGAAGATGGAGAACTTACTGAAGACCAATATGGATTACACCCCAACATCCAAAAAACAGAAATCCTCAACACTGGACCAATAGAAAAGATTGAATTTGCTAGCCATTTTCTTTTGCTTGGTTTCCACAATCAACATCTATTGAAGTAACAGTCAAGAAATCAAAAGATGTGTTGAAATGGGAAAATCTACTGTCAAGGACCTCTTCAGAGTGTTAAAGAGTAAGGATTTTAGTTTAAAGACTAAGGAGCACCTGATTTGAGTCATGGTACTTTCATTTGTTTCCTATGCATCGCAAGGTTGGACAATGAATAAGGAAGTCCAAAGAAGAGTCAATACCTTTCATTTGTGGTGCTGGTGAAGAGTATTGAATATATACCACAGACTGCAAAAAAAAAATCTGCCTCAGAGGAAGTGGAACCAAAGTGCTCCTTAGAAGCAAGGATGGCAAAACTTTGTCTCACATACATTGGACATGTTGTCAGTAGGGCTATCCTTGGAGAAGGACATGCTTGGAAAAACAGAGGGTCAATGAAAGAGAGGAAGAGCCTTTTAAGTTGGATTGCCAAAGGGATTCTAACCATGACTTGACCATGGTGGTGATCATGCGGATGCTGCAGGCTAGGGTTAGGTTCAGATCTGTTGTTTATAGGGTCACCATGAGTCATTGTGGGCTAAATGGCATCCAAAAAGAACGTAGATACTAGTTTTTCTAATTTTATAACTGCATTTTCAACCTCATAATAGGTTTTAATTGGCTGGAGACCAGTGTGAAAATCATCTACAGGAGCTGGTTATACAGAGGCTGGGAGTGGTGAGCACTGGGGTGGAATGTTGATTCGCTAAGGTAAGTGAGGCCATGTGATAAGGCCTCCTATTTACAAACTCTTTTTGTAGGTGGTATAGCACTGGTCTGTGCATTGCTGTACAGAGGTAACTCGTGGTTGCTGTGTTGCTAAACACTGTAACACTGATGTGCCAAATGCAATAATGGTTAACCATGGTGGACAGTGTTTTGTGGAGCTTCCCGATTAAAACAAGCTTGGAAGCAGGAGTGGCATTCACTTCTGAAATGGCCTCCAGAAACTATGAATAGTCCTCAGGTCTTTCGTTCATAGGGTCGCTATGAGCCGTCTACAACTTGATGACACACAACAACAACAACAACATGTTTTAATTAAGGGATTGAGGCTGTTAACTCCAGCTTGCATGGTTCTATGATCAACATTCTTTGTACTAGTAGCCAGGAAATCAAAAGGTGAATTATATTAAGAAAATCTGCTGTTAGGGACCTCTCTGGAGTACTGAATAGCAGCTTCATCAGTCTAGAGATTAATCCTGATGCAAGAGATTGCACCTGATCCAAGCCATTGTCTTCACAATTACTTGCTATGCATCAGAGAGCTGTACTATGAATAAAGATGATAGAAGAAAAATCAATGCCTTTGAGTTGTGGTGCTGGAGAAGAGTACTGAACATACCATGGACTGCTAAGAGAACAAATAGGCCTGTCCCAGAGAGGGTAAAACCAAGCTGCTCCTTGGAGGCAAGGATTTTGAAGCTTTGTCTCACATACTTTGGGCATGTTGCCGGGAAGAATTAGTTCTTGGAGAGGGACATCATGCTTGGAAGAGTGGAGGGACAGTACAAGAGAAAAAGACCCTGGAAGAGAGAGATTGACACAGTAACTGGGGTAATGGAGGTAGATGTGTCAGAGACTATGAAATTGGATCAAGATAGGGCTGGCTTCAGAGCTACTGCACACAGGGTCGTTACAAGTCACAAATGACTCAATGACACATAACAACAACAGTTGTAAAAGAGGGAGTTTCTTCCTTCCTGACATATATGTTCTTTTAATAGCCTGGTTAAGAAACAAAAATATACCTTATCAATCCTTGCTTAATTTAATTTACAATATCATCCTGGAGAGGATTAAACCAAGCAACTCCTTGGAGGCAAGGATTCTGGGGCTTCGTCTGGCATACTTTGGGCATGTTGCCAGGAGGGGCGGGTCCTTGGAGAGGGACGTCATGCTTGGGAGGGTGGAGGGACTGCGCAGGAGGGGAAGACCCTCTATGAGATGGATTGATTCGGTGACTGGGGTAATCGGGATGGGTGTGTCGGAGGCAGTGCGATTGGCACAGGATAGAGCAGGGTTTAGGGCTGTTGTGTATAGGGTCACTATGAGTCGCAAACGACTCGACGGCACATAACAACAACAACAACAATATGGATAACAAATTATAAATACCAGCTTTATTTATGTTGTTTAATACCAGCCAGAGCTGAGTAAAAATTCCTGTTTTCATGTAGTCACGAAACATTATAAAAGGCTTTAATGTAGGATTTTCTCACACTTGCTGGCGCATTTCCTTACTCTATAGGAAGGGGGAAATTCGCTTAGTCTTTTTGTTCTGCTGAGCCAAATATACTCACCTTAATTACCGATTCTGAGCAGATAGTGAGCACCTGGTGAAAAGTCTTGTTGTAGAGCATGACATTGATTTCTCGTTCATGAGTGTGGGGGATCTGCTTTGTGTCTTGTATCATACGAGTCAAAGGATACATGTCTATAACACTAGAGCCTGAGACAAGAAATGAGAATCTCATCAATACCGAACATTAGACTTTTTGAATCTCTGAATATTACCCAAGCAATTGGTTTGGAAAGATGTAATTAGTGAGGATGAATGATTCAATGTACAGGAATGTAATGAAGTAAAAATTTGTTTACTTAAAAGCTTTTTTGACAACTAGAACTAAGTGTTCGCTTTTGCTTCATTCATTTTCTAGTACAAAACATTTGGACTTCACTGCTATACCCATAACTGACTTTCCTTTGCCTGTTTCCTACCCTCTCCACTGCTCTGATCCTTTACTGTGCCTCACGCCTACCTCTGGGTCTGGAACACAGCAGTAAGGTGATGATAAGCTTCCAACAGAAGTTACACTTCCATTTATGATTGGAATTTATTGCTAGCAAGCTCTTTTCAGCAAATGTAAATATGGTCTTATTACATATAAATGAAAGAGATTGGTCACACACTTCAGCAGTAATAATAGATTATTTTCCAAATCACTGTAGTGTGGAGCTCTGGTGGTCTAGGGGATAAGGAGTTTTGCTGCCAACCGAAAGGCAGGAGGCTTGAATCTGCTAGCTGCTCTGGGGCAGAGTCTCCTCCCACGCAATTTACATCCTCTGAAACCCACCCCTCCCACTCCCTGGAGGGTTAGCTGTGAGTTGGTTCTGACTCTACGCAAATGACTTGGACTTTTTTTTTACGACTTAGACTTTTGACTGATATATTTCCACAGAAGAGACTACTTAAACTACACTTGAGATCTAATTTACAGGATAAAAAATGATAAAACATCGTGTGCTAGTTAACTCCAAATCTAGAAAGACAAAGCAAAAAGCAGAGGTTAAAAACAGTTGTACACTGTACCAGGATGGATAGCATCAACAACAGCCCTGCATCGTACAGGAACTCAGGACGAGTGACTTGTGGAGGGGGAAAAATCTTGGGAAATGCACTCTGGGTTAGCATTCCAGAAGAAGGAATTCCTGTTAATACTCATTTTCTTCTAAAGCCCAGAAGTGTGCAACTGAACAGTCTTCAACCTAACACCCCAGCAGGGTCTCTCCTTTCAAATCAGTGTCTTTCTTAGGGCCTGCTCCCTATGGACCAGTGTTTATAAACTCTTCTAGTTTGTTTGCCTTTACATTGCCCCCAAGTGCTAGTTTCAACAAAAGCTTAACAATCAAAGTATGGATTTTATTTGTCTTACCTGGGTACACTCACCTGTTATCAGCATGCCATGATTGGAATCATATACCATAGAATAAATCTGCATGTCTCCTGGTCCCCCCTGGCTGTCATGGAAAACTTGTAACAGTGAAAGTGTCTGTATGTCCCATACTCTGAAAACCTGAGAGAATCAAGGACACCACAGTTCACTGTTCACCACGGTTTACCCTTCCCCACTCAAGGGTATTACCACAGTTCACCACAGTTTACCCTTCCCCACTCAAGGGTATTACCACAGTTCACCATGGTTTACCCTTCTCCACTCTTATAATCAAGTAGGATTTAAATGATGAGCTCTCATTTTCAGTGGCTAAAACTTTGCTTAAAGGAACTTGGATTTCCTATCATTATGGAAGGAAAGAGAAACATAATATTTACTATTCTTTAAAAATCTGTAGGAATAACAAAGTACTGATTATGCTTAATGGTTGTGTAGACATAGTATGTTAACTGTTGGGCTAATACTTGCGAGGTCAATAGTTTGAATCCCCTAGGCACTCTACAGAAGAAAGATGGGCAGTCTCATCTCATTACAATTTACAGTTTCAGAAAACCCAACGCAGGGACACCATAGGTTGACATCCACTTAACAGGAATGAGTTTGATTTGGATCATGACTTAAAATAAAATTGAAGCCACGATTGCCTCTGCTAAAAATTAGAAAACAATTTACATTTTAGGTGGAGGGTCTACACTTGCCTTTCATGATTTAGGAGAATGGAAACAACTTACCTAGTGAGGTTTCTAAGAACCTCCTCTGACTGAGAAAGATTGGGTAAATTATGTATACTGCGTTGAAACAGATGAAGAGAGAATAGTTTATAGTGATATATTATTGGATATTATTGTTACGACAGGAGTCCGGAATGAAGGTTGCGTGGTGGAGCACACTCAGGGCGGCGGGGGTGGGGGTGGGGCATTGTATATCAATGAAGGATTTTTTTTTTTTTTTTTTTTTACTTTTCAAGGAGAAGAATGAACTGGGGAGAGGGGTGGGGCAGGGAGAAAAATGTAACAATGAATGAATGGAAATCCAAAGTCTCTGTAAATGTTCATTAAAATTAATTAAAAAAAGGAACCTCCTCTGACCTTTGCCCTACGGTGTAAGGGCTTTGGAAAGCTGTTTTTATCTATGAAAAGCCTTTCCGTGTCTTTTGCCCATTTTACAATTGGATTATCAGTCTTTTTCTTCTGGAGGCGCAGGAGTATTCTGTAAACTTTTTGTTATGAGATCCTTGTCTGAAAGAGTATTGGTAAATGCTTTTTCTCCGGTCAATAGGTTTTCTTTTCACCTTACTGGAAAAAGTTTTCGATGTGCACAGGGATTTACAAAGGGATTTAGAATGTCTCATTTGTCATTTTTATCCTTTCTGGACTGGGCATTTCTGGCTGTATTTGTCAGCTTCTTTATACCACAGAGTTGTTGTTGTTGTTGTTGTTATGTGCCATCGAGTC